TATTGTTTTTAGGTACATAATCTTCTATTGGTACATAAGTTTATGCATAAATTCTGTAGAGGAACATTGTATTTTCTTATTATCTGTGCCTGGCTAATGCCCCGTGTTTATCTAATATTGAAATTAAAGTTGAGGGAGTAGGAAGGACAGTTCATGGAGAATACTGCCTCCTGAGTTATTTCAGAGAATATCTATAGAGTAGACCTGATGAAGATATGGCTTAATTTCCTCTAATTTACTATTCTTTTGTGTAGTTTGTTTACTGAAACTGGATGGATAAATGTGTAGGGGAAAGTATACACGTTTTTATTAATGAAGTAAAACAGGCAAGTGCAGTTTAATTTTAGCTAACAGTTTTGTGAAACTTAAGATTTAAAGTGTTAAAAATGATGGTGCTTTAACAATGATAAATATCAGATTGGGAGCTGCCTCAGTCTGGAAAGTGCTTGCTGTACAATGAGGACCTGACTTCAGTCCCCTGCACCATGTCAAAGCTGAGCATGATGGTTTGCCCTGCAATCCCGGCCCTGGAAAAGCAGAGATGGAAGAATCTGTGGAGGTTTGCAGCCTAGCCAAATAGGTTAGATCCATGTTCATTGAGAGATCCTGTCTCAAAGTTAAGGTGGAGACACCCAGTGTTGACCTTAGACTTCATGCATGTACACACACACACACACACACACACACACACACACACACACACACACACACACAAGAAATACCTACAAGTGAATGGATTTATATTTTCATTTGTGGTAGTCAGAGTTCTGAGATGACCAATTCCTAATCTTGGCTGTAAACACCTCGAAGCAACCTCTTCCAAAGTAAGTGAAAGTGGAAAGCGAGAGAGATCCCAGCCCATGAATAGATTACATCATGATGGAGCTACCATAGCATCTAGAGTCTCCTGGAGACTCTGAAAAAGAAAGCTGACATTTGTGAGGACCATTGACACCTATACGTGTCCTTTAGGTACTGAGTATTCCTTAGCATATAGCCTGAAAAAAAAAAGTTTTACAATCCTAGAGCCATCAGAAACATATTTCTACCAATGACTTGAATGATCTTGAAATAAGACTTTGAATCTCAAATTAGACTGCAAATATGGATCACTCTTTGCTGTGTTCCCCTGAGACCCTGGGTAGAGTATGCAGATAGCCCATTTCCAAACTCCTGACCCATGAACATGCAACTAATACAATGTTTTATTTCTGTGTGCTTTGGCTTTTGAGCTTTTACAAGCTTGCACAGGATGAGTTATGGATGATAGCTTTGCATCAACAGAGGTAATTGCCTCTGTGACTGTGTGGAGCCTCACTCTCTGATGTTATCCGGAGTGAAGCATTTGCTATAAGAGTCTGTTTTTCTGTTGCTGTTACAAAAGTTTACCCCTTAGAGCAAAGATGATAGATACCATCCATTTCAGTGAAAGCCTTTGAGAAACTGGGTAACACACAATGTTACAATGTACAATGAGGACCTGACTTCATGACCATGATTTGAATAGCATAGTAATAGAACAGTGTGCTTGCCATCTTGGTTTGTTTCTTGTGTTGATGTGAACAGTGGAAGGCTTTCTGAGAAAAGCAATCAGCCTTGGGTAGGCACAGAGGTGAAGGGTGAGACTTTACTCTAGTGCCTGGACGTCTCAGCTGTTTCAGTCTCATAAGCTCATCATCATTAGAAGCCTAGGTATATCTTGTGCTCACACCCAGTGGTGTTTTGAAGCAGTATTTAGTATTGCTTTCTTCAGTGCCTGATGGCCTATGCCTGCTTCTCATTTTGTTCGTAAGTCTGGGCATGCTCACAGAAACAGCTGTGGGTGAAGAGCCTAGGAAAATGTGCCAGGTGACACACTGAGCACTCATTTCACTTGTCCTCTGTCATCCTGTTGTTATCCAGCACCTGCCTTTTCTGGTCATTGTCCTTCCCTGCTTCTCTTCATATTGAATTATTAACATAGAACAAACCTTTGCAAGATCATGTCCTCATTCCACGTCATTCATAAACTGAATACAATTGGTAGCCAAAAATCTAAATGAAAAAATGGCATACTCTAGCCTGAAATCCCACCACCAGGACCACCTAGTGTCTTATTCCTGGTTACTATCTGAAAGATAACCAGGATTCTGATTTCTATACGGAACGATTATTTTGGGTGTTTTTGAAATCTTCATAAAAGTTATAACATTTTTCTTCTCTGTCTGTGTTATTAAAATTATGTTTGTGTCTTCTGTAGCTGTTCTTTCTCATTACTATACAGTTGCGTCTTGGTCTCTGTGAATGATTGGTTCTAAGTCTCCCGTGCCTATAACACCAAACTCTGAGGATGCTCAAGTCCTTGTTGAGGATGCTGAGGCCAGCATGTTGGTTGTTGCCTGTACAGAGGATGTTTAGAGAAGAAGCTGTTCACAGTCACAGAAAGGCTTCATTGTACAGTACGTGGACAAGGTTGTGATAAGCAGTCCTCAGCTAAGAAACTGCTGCAGAGAGACCGGACCTTTGAAGAGACAGGGCTCTCTAGCAAGGCATACTTGTGGTTTTTTGTTTGTTTGTTTAAGACAGGGCTCTCTAGCAAGGCATACCTATGGGTTTTTGTTTGTTTGTTTGTTTGTTTAATGGGGAATGGGTGTGGTGCTTGGCATTCGGCAAATTCAGATTTTTTGAACTTCTGGGTTTTTTTCTAGATGCTTTTGATTTGCAGTTGAGTGTGCAGATGTGGAACAAATGGCTATAGAGAATCAATTATGTATTATTTCACTAGACAAACCCTGGCAGTTTACCGATTCCAAAGTCCTCGTGTATATCTGGGTAGTTTATAGGGTTGCTTGGGTTTTGCTTCAAAATAAACTGCTATGCAGTTTTGGGCCCATTTTCCCCTGGACTCATGTATGTATAGTATAGCAGTTGGCAAACTGTGGCTACAAAGAGCCATTGAAGAGTAACCAGTTCCTTTCTGCAGCCCTACTATGCATGTTGCAGCTGATCTACTTTGCTGTCATAACAAACAGCATCCATAGACAGCACATACATGAAGGAACATGGGACACATATTCCAGTAAAACATTAAGGTTTTAGTTTCATATAGTTTTCACATCTCATGAAATATATTCTTTGTTTTTTTTTTCTACTATTTGAAAATATAAAAATACTCAGCATTTAAGCCTGATCTAGCCTATGATTGTAGTTGGCCCCCCTCTGTGATAGGGCTTTGGAGTAGAAATGGTGAATCACATGGTGTAGATATTATTTACCTATAGATGATACCACCAAACAGCTTCCCACAGTGACACAATATCCAGTTTATTAAACCTTATAAATAAATACGTTTCGTTTGTTTGATTGTCTGAGACAGGGTCTTATCTTAATAAATTGTCCAGGTTAAATCTTGAACTTTGGGCTGATTTGATTCTTCTTCCAGATTCCTGAGGGCTGTGAGTAAAACCACACCCAACATGTAAATAGTTCTTTTAATGAATGGAGGTTTGAGTTTTTGATGGCCTAGGAGTTTTCTTCTTTTTAAAGCTTTACTGGTCATGTTTGTGAGAGGTATATATTCAGGTAAGTGTCTTGCTCACACAGTTCCTATTAGCAAAAATAAATGTGTGATTGAAATTGAAACACATTTCAGGTACACTTTGTGTTTGGTGCACTGCTTTCCTGCTAATGACTCAGACCAGCAAATGCAATTTTTGTCTTATCTTTCATTTCATATACCCTTGACAAGTTCTATAATGTTAGTTACATGTGCCTTCCTTAAAAGAAGCTTTCAAATGTGATTTCTTGTTTTAAAATGGATGATGTTTCTTATTTTAATAAACTTCCGAGGCCTGTGCAGCCAGCACTCTAAATTATATTTGGGCTTTGGAACCCCTCTCCTGTATAACCTGAGTTTGTATGGCCTTTTGATGCACTGCAGTTTGTCTTGCTGATGGTTTATTAATTACGTTTCTGAGTGTAGTATATTGTTTCCAGGAGTTCTTGTGAAAAATACATTTGACTACCAGAGTATTTGTGCAACCAAGATATGTGTTTATATTCTCATTTTGGATTTTCTGAGGTTGAGTTGAGCTGCAGTGTAGATGACATGAACTCTCAGAGGGATTGGACTTGGGTGGTAGACAGTCCATAGAGGACAGTGTATTTAGTCAGTGTCACAGACCTGGGATGGACTTTCTCTCTCTCTCTCTGTGTCGGGCTCGCTGCATTTCCCTGTGTTTCTTGTTGGGATGTGGATACTCTTCTGTACTGGTGTGGGTTCCTGACATTCTGTCAGCCCTCCGGGAGAGCAGCTGTTTGACAGTTTGGTTTGTGAGACTAATTAGGCTTTAGTAATCCAGTTGGACATTGTTATTGGAGGAAAGGGGAGTTATGCTCTGCCTTCTCCATTAAAACCTAAACAAGCCGGGTGGTGGTGGCACACGCCTCTAATCCCAGCACTCAGGAGACAGAGGCAGGCGGATCTCTGTGAATTCAAGGCCAGCCTTATCTACAAAGCGAGTTCCAGGACAGCCAGGGCTGTTACACAGAGAAACCCTGTCTAGGGGGGAAAAAGGCCCATTCACCAGAGGTGATCTTTGTACCAGCATAGGAATGGGCAAACTTCTCAGAAGGAGCATGTGAGGAGCTGGAAGGATTCCTGGTGAACCAGAGGATGTTATCCTCTGAATCATGGCTGAGAGGCAGAGCTAAGCCTGGCATAGAGCATGGCTGAGAAATAAGATCCAGGAGCTTTAGGAGACAAGAGTTTAAGGCCCTTGTCAGATTGAGGCTTTCTGGAATACAGCGTCCCACTTAGAATAATCCTTGCATTTAGCTGCCCACCCTTTGCTGAAGTCAGTGCTCTACAGAAAATAGCCTTGTGGAGCTGTCTATGTATCCTCCTGGATATTTTAGGCTCCCATTTAGGTCAAATATACTAAAGTACTTGTGATCATAAGATCCTGCTCCACTTAAAAAGTCTAGTTAAATATTAATGTGAGGAAATTTGCTCTTGCATATTTTCACACATAATTTCTTTAATTGGTATTATGTATTTTGCATAATTTAAATACCAGCATCTGGATGATTTGCTCAGCAAAGAAGACTGTTTCATCAAAAAGACCTATACAGTATCTTTTCCAAACTGCATGCCAACAGTTAGGCCTTGTCCTTAAATAATTCCTACAGTGGGGACTGAAATGGAAATTGAACTGCCCTGAGAGTTTCTGTTCATTAAAAGGACAATATTAACTATATTTACTGTTGAGGGGCCAACTGCCAGTCCTGCCAGGAAATTTAGATTCCATAGTTCCACAGAGTAGATGATAGCTGGGCCCTTCTCCTCCCACTTGTGCCCTGCTGAGTCCTGGGACCGCCTACCATCTGTTCAGATGTGCTCCTCCTGACCAGAGGAGCACATGGGTCGTTTCAAAGTCATGAGGAAACTGCTTTTGCATTCCCCTTCAGTTTCTGTGACATCACAGGCTATGTACATCTCTCTGGTTTGAGTTGATAGGTGCAGACATGTTGTTTGTGATTGTCTATTAGAATATTAGCTAGACTTCACTTCCGGCTTCTGTCTCTTCTGGCCATTTTCACTGCTGTTTTCAGGTCTAAGGGCATCTCTTCCCTGTCAAGAGACACAAACACATTACTGATTAGTGACAATCTTGGCCCTGCAGACTGCTCAGCAGTTTGGTGTTCATTGGCCCCACCCTGAAGAGGTAACTGCTGTGGTAGGATGCTGGGAGCCCTATGGAGAGTGGAGGAAGAAGAGGTCAGAGTGTTGGAGAGAGGAAGGATTAAGTGAGATGAGGGCATCATTTTACTTTCAACACATGGAAGGCCGTTGCAGGGTTTTAGTCTGGCTTCTTGATACCTTGAGAAGATGCTTCTAACTTCTTCATGTGAATAGAGTATATGGTGGGAGGAGGAGCAGGAGGAGGAAGGACAGGAGGAGGAAGAGGAGGAAGATGATGAACGATGACAACAACAACGACCACCTTCACCATGGGCATGTCAAAGGTGGCTAGCACCAGGTGAGGGCCGTGGGGAATGAGAGCTGTAGGTGCTCACAGCTGTGTCACACAGGCAAAGCATGGATGGCCTGCCCTGTGGTTTGAGATAGAGATGGAAGGTGGACTCTTAGTACTTTTCCTCATGAGCTTCTCACTCTGCCTTCTATTAGAGCTCCCTTCTTCCTGGAGCCTGATTCCTATGATAGAGGCTAATGCTCTGTCACTATCAGGCCACTTCTGTATGTTAGATTGACCAATCTCTAAATTTGTCCCAAGGGTCCTGACCTCTGTACCAACTTTCCAACTACCCTTCTCTTTACTGTCCCCGCCCCCTTCTTCTTTCAGCCCCTTCAGCCCACACATGTGTGCTAGATTCATCTTTTGTGGTTGCACCCAATTTCTGTTTTCACAGTTCTCAAATCCTCCAGTGTGTAAATCAATACCAATGCCATCTTCCCAGAGAGAACACTTTGCAGTTTGTCAGCTAAAGTGATTCTCTACTGGCTTCTTGTGTTCATGCCTTTGGTTTCTGCCTCTGCATCTTTATTCTCAAGTAAGCTCCTGTTACAGAATGTTGTAATACTATTCTTGACTTCTGTACTAAAGAATTAGTTGGGGATAATATCACAGATTTCAAAGAAATGAGGAAATAATAAAGAACAACATACACATCCCTGCAGCTATAACAGCCCCATGAAATCCACAAAAGGAAGCAGATGAGCAAAAGTCATAAGCTGGCTGCTGAGGAGGAGGAGGCAGGAATGTGGTGGGATGCCAAACCCGTGAAGGTCCTAAACACTTGTCCTCAGTGTGCTCCAGTCTCAAGAGTGACAAGGCCGTTCTTTTCTGTTGTTGAAGGGCAGTAGTGCTGATGGTGGCCACCAGGGTGGAACGAGGACAGCTGATGCTGGAAGTCCTGGGGAAAGGCCAGGAAGCTGGAGCTTGCCTCCCTTTATCCCTTGTGATTGGTCCTTCCAAGCTGGAGGAGGAACTCCTAGAGGACATGTAATGTGAAAGAGTGCAGAGCCCAGAGTCTCCGAGGTGCCTTCAATAGGATCTTGTTGTTGTTGTCTCCTCTTGTGGCCTGGCTAGGGAAAAGTGGTCAAGAATGCAGACAACTTGGTCTTCCAACCAGAGGGGTCACAGATATTATGGAACAGGAGTCTTGTGTTAGTGAAGAAAAGAAATAGGACTGTTATGTAAAAGTAGGGGAGGAGAGAATGAATAAAAATCATAAACCATCTAAAGACAAAGCGATCCTTATCTAGATGAAAACGTATGTCAGGGCAAGAAGGGGAGCCTTACAGTTCTTTCATTCCATGGAACACGCTAATGAGAAGCAGGAACTCATAAACAAAGCAAGATGATAATAAAAAGCAGGGGAGATGAAAAAGAGAGATTGTAGGCTAAAGAATGATCTTGAGTTCTAAGAGGACATTATTGTAGAACTAATAAATAAAATTAGAAACCTCAAGGAAAATAGTAGATGGCATTGAAAATCAAGTTACTAGAGTAAATGCTGGATAACTTGAGTGAACACAGACAAGATGATCTGGTTCTTCATGTGGCTGGAAGCTAGAAGAGAGGGACTGAGACAGTGCAGTGTTGGGGTAATTGCTGTGCCTGGAGATGCAACAAAGAGCGGAATGTAAGACAGGGCGATTTCCATAAAATAGAAAACGGAGTCTGCATATTGGGATAATGTACTTTGTCCCAGGAGAATGGAAAGACTGTTCAAGGCTGAGATCTGCCCTAATCACACTATTGAACTTCAAGGATAATGGGATATTTCTTTAAACATGTAAGCTGAAAACCAACTTGTCTGCCATGGGCTAAAAGTCAGATTGACAAAATACTTCCACCAGCAATGTTGAGTTTCTGGAGACAGTGGAGTCCTTTCTTTAGTGTTTCATAGGAAAGGAAATGAAGTCCACCATAGGGCCACCAATTGGTACCATTGATTCTCTTCAGTTGTCAGGACAGGAGGAACGAAATTCTAAACAGAAAATGGTCTTCTTACCAAAATATGTATGAAAAAATATGTACATGGTAAACAGAGATGTTGGTCAATTCTCTGCTTGCTGTGACAGAATACTTGACAAAGGCAGCTTAGGAATGGAAAGGTTTATTTTGTCTCACGGTTTGTGGTACAGTCTGTCATGGTAAGAAATCATGGAGAAATCATAGTGATAGGAATATGAGATGGCCAGTCACATTGCATCTATATTCAGGAAGCAGAGAACAAGAAATGTTAGTGTTTAGCTTGATTACTTCTTTGTGTTAGTCTAGGAACCCAGTCCATGTGATAGTGCCTCTTGCATTTAGGGTAGGTTATCCTGCTCAGTTAGACCTTTCTGGAAACACCTCAATAGAGGCACCTTGGTGTATTTCTGTGGTAATTGTAAATGCAATTGAGTTGACATTGTAGACAAACCATCACAACTGGTCCCTTAATACCTTTTCTCAACTTCACAGAATATTTTATGAAATATCTCGTAGAATAAAGATGCATTTTTGTTCAAAGACAACAAATACTTCATCTTCCATCTGTTAGATTAAATTATGTAGTTTTCAAATCAAAAGATAACCTCTGCTACAGGCTTTTATTTTTATAGAAGCATTACAGTCTCCTTGATATTTTTTCCCCTTCCCACCCATTACTAGGCATGTGCTATAATGTAGGTCTCCATCATGGCCCTATCTTGCCATGTTTGTGCTCTGGGTTACAGAGGTTAACTGCACTTTTTGTGAGTCAGAGCTATACAGTGTCACTAGTTGGTAAAATATATGGCTAAATTTCCAAAAAAAAAAAAAAAAATATGACATTTATCTATTGTTAACTATTTTGGGGGAAAAACACTTTAAAATCATTACGTCTAGTACCAAATAGCAAGCACACACTGAGTGATTTAAGATGAGCCTGGCATGACTATCGCCTCTTAGCTGACTTAATGTGAGCCAGGACCTCAAGCAAGCTAAACTCTTGCTCTGCCATTCATTGAGTTATACTCCCAATTTAGTACTCTTTTCTGTTGGTCTTAAATTTATTCAAGAAAGTGGTTGAATTTTATTTGACTCAATGTGAGAAACTGAGGATAAAGTCATGATTTAAAAAGCTGAACCTTGTTCACTGTAATATTGTGTGGTGGCTACAAGGCCCTCCTCCATATCAGATAGTATCCTTATAAGGTCGTCTCTGAATTCAGGAAGCCTCGCTTGCAACCCTCTACCTCACCTGAAGTCCCTAGAAAGTGGTTGAAGTGCTGTCTCACATTTAGCACTGAACATCTGAACACATATTTCACATTCAGAAATGTTTTACTCCAGAATAGGTTTCTGGAGATTGAGGCAAAACACATTGAGCTTATTTTTTTGCAGATGTAAGAGCCACATTGTTCAAGATGACTTGATGCTGTTCTGACACTTGTAATCACTCTGAGGTTCCCTTTTCATGCGAATGCATTTGGTTGACCCAAGCTTTGTTTCACTGTAAGCTATCTGCAACTCTACATATTTTACTTCTTTGAGGTCCATTGTGCCAGGAGTTATGGGAGGGGAGCCAGCACCGTTATGTTAAGCATTCTGTCTTATCCAAGAGGTGTTTCATAAATTATGTATAACAGTAGATGCCACTCAATAAATATTTTATATGTGATAGATATTTTTGTCTGAAATTACTTTTTCACTTGAGCAATGATTTAAACCCTCGTTTTCAGTTTTATGAGGTGACACTTTTATAATATCATGTAGTCGAATGCAGCTTGAATGTCATGGAGCTTTAGGGCAGCATTAATCAAAAATTCATCTGCCCCACTCTCCAGCCTGGGAAACTTTTCTGGGTGCAGGTTTTGCCCGTGCCACATATGTACAGGTGTGTGTGTGTGTGTGTGTGTGTGTGTGTGTGTGTGTGTTGGGATGAGTGGGGACAAGTAATGCTTTTGACCCAATAGCTCCAAAATTGTGAATTTCCAATGCTTTCCAAAGTCTATTAGACTTAGTCAAGGAAGAAAAAAAAAATATTTTCAGATTTTTTTTTAAGAACGTTAGAGTAAACTTGGATGTAATCCAAAATGATTTTTCTGGTTTATGTCAGAACTGTTATGATTTAAAATATCCTTTCTTTCTTTCTTTCTTTCTTTCTTTCTTTCTTTCTTTCTTTCTTTCTTTCTTTCTTTCTTTCTTTCTTTCTTTCTTTCTTTCTTTCTTTCTTTCT